CTTCGGGTCCCTCTTTATGTGTGAGTCGTTCGGGCTCCTCGTGGTATGAGTCCCCTCCTTGTTTGTGAGTCGGTCGGGCCCCTCCTCCTGGTGTAACTCGTTCGGGCTTCCCGTGGTGTGAGTCGTTGGGGGCCCGCGTCGTGGTGTGAGTCGTTCGGGCTCCTCGTCGATCGGGCCCTCGCCAGGCTTGGAAGACGAACCTCCGATGATCCTCTAGCGCGCTCGTGCGCAGTAGGCGCGTCGTGCGTTACGCAACGTGCTGGCTGAACTGCACCCGCCCTTGCCCATCAAAGAAGGAAAAAGAAAACAAAGCAGGAGGAAGGCCTCCCCTAAACGTGCAGGTTTGCAGTGCCACGGGAGGGCCTCCAGAGATAATGCGAGAGTTCGCGTCTGTGTGCGTTGCAGATATGTGAGTCGTTCCGGCTCTTCGTGGTGTGAGTCGTTGGGGCCCCTCGTCCTTCCTTGTGTGACTCCTTCGGGTTCCTCATTATGTGTGAGTCGTTCGGGCTCCTCGTGGTATGAGTCCCCTCCTTGTGTGTGAGTCGGTCGGGCCCCTCCTCCTGGTGTAACTCGTTCGGGCTTCCCGTGGTGTGAGTCGTTTGGGGCCCGCGTCGTGGTGTGAGTCGTTCGGGCTCCTCGTGGTGTGAGTAGTTCGGGCGCCTCGTCCTGGTGTGAGTCGTTCGGGCCCTTCCTTGTGGTGTGAGTCGTTCGGGCTCTTCGTGGTGTGAGTCGTTGGGGCCCCACGGCGTGGTGTGAGTCGTTCGGGCTCCTCGTGGGGCCTCTGGGGAGCCTCTTGGAGGTCTCGGGGCCTCTGGGGCGTCTCTTGGGGGCCTCTTGGGGGCCTCTTGGGGGCCTCTTGGAGCTTCTTGGGGCCTCATGGGGGCCTCTTGGGAGCCTCCTGGAGGCCTCTTGGGGTCATCTTGGAGCCTCTTGCGACCTCCTCAGAAGCGGAAATGAGCCTAACCCCCTGAGAAGGAGAAAATGACGCCAAAACCTTTGTAAAATCAATAAATTTGCTATGAAGGACGATGAGCGCGGCCCCCTCAGAAGGCCAAGAAGGGGCCAAAACCGTAGTAAAATCAATGTTTTTGGCTTCAAGGACGAGTTGAGGGACCAAACGGTCTCCCCCCCTCGGGACCAGAATCCTCGTGAGGGTCGTCGTTTTTTGGCCCTCCCAGGAGTCGAAAAAGACCCGCTTGACACCACTCGGCCCGCCCTCTCCAGGTCCAGGGGGGGGGGGGGTAGGGGGAGGGGTAAACCCCTCCCCGAAGGGGAAGATAAGGGGTTATGGGGGTTAAGAACAGAGAGAGCTCGCTAAACCACTCACGCCCAAAGGGCTGGTGGGATTCGCATGACGGCCCCGCCCCATTTCGGCACAACCCTCATCATTGTGGCCCCATAGGGAGGTCCATCTAAGGCCCCAATGGGAAAGTTCGCTTTGCGGCCCCGCCCCATTTCGGCACACCCCTCACACGGCTCATGGCCCCATAGGGAGCTCCACCTGAGGCCCCAATGGGAAAGTTCGCATGGCGGCCCCACCCCATTTCGGCGCACCCATCACACGGCTCGTGGCCCCATAGGGAGCTTCACCTAAGGCCCCAGTGGGAAAGTTTGCATGACGGCCCCGCCCTATTTCGGCACACCCCTCACACGGCTCGTGGCCCCATGGGGAGCTCCCTTAAGGCCCCAATGGGAAAGTTCGCATGGCGGCCCCGCCCGATTTCGGCACACCCCTCACACGTTCCGTGGCCCCAGAGGGAGCTCGAGCTAATGCCCGAAGTGGCCCCATGGGGAGCTCCATCTAACGCCCCAGTGACAGGGTTCGCATGGCGGCCCGGGCCCATGTCGGCGCATCCCTCACACGGCTCGTGGCCCCGTGGGAAGCTCCACCGAGGGCGCCAGTGGCAGGGTTCGCATGGCGGCCCGCCCCATTTCGGCACACCCTTCACGCGGTTCGTGGCACTATAGGGAGCTCCACCGAAGGCGCCAGTGGTAGGGTTCTCATGGCGGCCCCGCCGCATTTCGGCACACCCCTCACACGTTTCGTGGCCCCATAGGGAGCTCCACCGAAGACGCCAGTGCCAGGGTTCGCATGGCGGTCCCGCACCATGTCGGCGCACCCCTCACCAGGATCATGGCTCCGTGGGGAGTTCCACCGAGGGCGCCAGTCCCAGGGTTCGCATGGCGGCCCCGCCCTGTTTCGCTGCACCCCTCACAAGGTCCGTGGACACAGTGGAAGCTCCACCGAGGTTTGCCAGTGGCACGGCTCGCATGGCGGCCCCGCCGTGTTTCGGCACACCCCTCGCGCGGTTTGTGGCATCATAGGGAGCTCCACTGAAAGCCCCGATCGCAGGGTTCTCATGGTGGCCCCACCTCATTTCGGCGCACCCGTCGCACGGCTCGTGGCTTCATAGGGGTTCCAAAGAAGGCGCCACTGGCAGGGTTCGCATGGCGGCCCCGCCCCATTTCGGCACACCCATCACACGGTTCTTGGCCTCATAGGGAGTTCCACCGAAGGCGCCAGTGGTAGGGTTCTCATGGCGGCCCCGCCCCATGTCGGCGCACCCTCACGAAGATCGGAATCAACAATTTTAGTCAGAGCCCCGGGGCCCGAAGGCGGACCCAGGGGGCCGAGATCGAGGTCCAAAGGCGAGCCCACGCAGCGTCTGAGCGAGCTCAGACCTAGCCGGAAACTCCCTCCAGCCACCCTTTGCTTCCCGACCCCGTCCCTTTGTCTTGTCTTTCCGTCCTCCTCCTGCGCTGTCCCGCCCCATTCTTTCTCCTGCTTCCTCCCACCTCTTCCCCCCCGTGCTCGTTTTCTGGGGAAGCGCGCGGCTACCGGTGATGGCGAGGCAGTTCCGGTCAGGTTCAGGGGGGTCAGGATGAGGAGGATTATGATGATGGCCGTACGAGGGCGAGGGGGGGGATGAAGATCGGGGGGTGAGCAGGCCGCGATCCCGCCCCCGGGGACCTCATATTTTTTCGGGGGCCTCTCGGAATTCCAAGCGTCCAACCGCTTCAAGGACCCGAAGCTGCGGGGCCTCATGGCATTCGCGCGCAAACGGGGTAAGCAGGTCCCTCCAGCCATCCGGGCCACGTGGGGCGCCATGCAGCTGAAGCCCGACGATCGGAGGCTCCGGGAAGATAGGTTCCAGAATGGCCACATGATCGGGTCCTACTGGGACACCGTGGCACGGTGGATGAATATGTGCGCCCAGCGGGACGCGGACGTCCTGAAGAAGCCCTTCTTCCTTGTGCAAGTAGCCGACAGGTCTGCCCTGACGATAAGCGTGAAGGACGCCGCCAAGATGATGAACTGCTCCAGCCCGAAGAACACCGGTGGCATGCACGGGCTCCTTTCTGTGCGCGTGGGCATGCGTGTCCGGCTCCTGGAGGCGCTCGACCTCAAGAACGGCCTCGTCGCGGTTGCCAAGGGGCAGATCGTGCGCGTCGTCGTGGACCCGCGGGGCAGGGCAGAGGTGGAGGCAGCCGAGAGAGATGGGGAGAAGAGGATCTATCTGAAGCGCTTGCCGCTGGGGTTCTGGGTGCGCATGGAGAAATACGTGAGCGCGCCCTTCGTCGACGGCTTGAAACGCCGCGACGACAACCTCACGGGGGACCTCGCGGGCCCGCTGGAGTTCATCGAGCCCCGCCCGCCGGAGCCTTTCACCTGCTGCGCCTCCAAGGCCACCCGGACGGGCTTCCAGTTCTCGCGCGGCAGGGTCATCACCGCGGTGGCGTGCCAGGGGCGCACCGTGCGAGAAGGCGCCTCCGGGCAATCTGCAGCCGCACTTGCTGGGCGCGAGCGGTCCGCAACCGGACCATCTCTCGGTCCTGTGGACTCTCGCCCTGGGCCGTCGGCTGTCCGGCGCGCTTCTCCTTCGGCCGACGTCGCCCAGGCGGGATCCTGGACTGCGGCCGCCGCGAGGTCGGGAACGGCAAGGAGGACGACGACTGGTGGCTGGAGCTCTATGTGCTGCTCTCGCGCGCCACGCGCCACGAGGACCTCCTGCTCATGCGGGCGCCGCGCATCGAGTTCTTCCTGGCAGGGCCGCCGCAAGACTTGCGGAAGCAGCTGGGGCAGTTCGCGGCGCGCACGAAGCGGTGCAGGAGGGAGGCGGCGGCCCTCGCCAGGGAGCTCGGTTTCACAGAGTTACCAGCGCGCGACCAGCGCGCGTCGCGGCTGGGGCGATCAGCGCACGTCGCGGCGACTCCGCCCTGCGATGCGCCCACAGCCTTGGACTCTGGAGTGCGCGGGCAAAGAGCAAGGAAAAAAGGAAAGGAAACAGGCGCGATCCTCGTGAGGGGCGCACCAACATGGGCGTCGCGGCGTACGGGCGCTGCCGTCGGGCTTCCGGGGGAAGCTCCCTGCGGCACGTTCAGTGTTGCGAGTACTCAAAATCAGGCATACACGAATTATTCACATTCATATCCATTTACCCCAGACGTGGGCATGCTCGCATTTATGCAAATATACTCACTCGCACGCAGACTCACTCACACTCAGACTCGCTCGCGCTCAGACTCACCCGCGCTCAGTCTCTCGTATTTAGACCTATCGCGTTCGCTCGCTTTGTGTACCCCGCCACACATTTCGGCACTCTCATACGGTTCGTGGGCCCATTGGGAGCGCCACCGAAGAAGACATTCACATCTGCGGTATTCTCAACTGCATATGGTTGGGTCCTTCGCAAGGCTAATTTTTTGGCCGGCGTACATATGTTTTACGCATCTTACCTCGTCGTCGCTGGGGTCTGCAACATGTGAAACCGTCGCCACCTTCGAGGGCTGCTGGAGGAAAAAGCGAAGTGACGCCACAAGGGGATTCATATTAGACCTCACCATGTCTGGGGGCTGCGAACTGCGAACTGCGAAGCTGTCGTCACTTTTGACGGCTGCTGGCTGGCCCAGCGCAGTAACGCCATACGGGGACTCATATTAGACCTCGCCATCCCTGCGCGGCTGCGAACTCATCCTGTTTCCTTCCTATTCCCCTGCACCTGCCTGCTGCAGCCGAACTCCCCTCCCCACTGGCTGGCCTCGTAAAGGACGGCGCTCAGCAAGTACCAGGCGGCGTAGAAGTAGGCCCGCACCTGCGGGGCCAGGAGGAGATCGAGGAGCAGAATCAGCCAGCATCGACTCAGGAACTCGGACCGGAGCGTGCGTCGGATCGGGCCGTATCAGCTCGGAGTCGAGACATACTTGGATCGGCTGTGCCAAAGTGCACGGCAACGCTATGCATGCATCGGGCCGCATCAGATCGTCTGAATATCGGAGTTGAATCGGATCGGTTGGAGACGGGATCTGTAAAGGGCACAGAACACAGGCTGAGGACTAGCAACCGAAGGTCAGAGAGCCCGCCAGATGCACGAAGAGGGTGGGGGACCGAGACAAGACTTGGAGAGCCCTCATGCATGAAAAGGGTGCCAATTGCTGGGTGTGTACCGTCGGCGCTGAGGACGGTGAACGACGAGAAAAATAAGCGAGGGCGATGATACGGAAAGGGGGGGCGAGGAGGATTACGAGAACGGAGATGTGGAGGACGGAGGGGGTCTAGGATTAAACCAAGAGGGAGGAGGATGACGAGGGCAAACCGAAGGATGGGGTGAGGGGTGAGAGGGAGAAGGAAGAGGACCAGTGTAAACCCAAGACGAATCAAACATGTTGCAATAAACCCTCCCTCCAAATTCCCTCTTTATAAATCCCTACAGAAATTCGTTTGCACTACGGGAAGTGCCCCGTTGGAAGACAACCGTCTGAGAATCATCAATTGTACCAGAACGCAACTCCTGGGACGTCATCGACGCAAATCAACGCTACTGTTGCGTCCTGATGATCCTGAATCGTGAAGGGACAAAATCTCGGGGACTTCAACACTGCGAATCAATGTGACTCTTGTGTCCTGGCAGTCCTAGATCGTACCGTAGAACCATTCCTGCGACGTCAACTGTAATAATCCTTTAAGCTTGTGTAAACTTGTAAAACAAATGTGCGCGGCACTAGAAACGATAACCACAATTTGAAACGGAACCACCCTCCATCCGTGAAACTCTTGCAACACTTTTAGAACGAATGTGCTCGGCGATGAAAACGATAACCACATTTTGAAGAAGATCCGCCCTCCATCCGTGAAGCTCTTGCGAACTTTTTAAGACGAATGTGCGTGGCGCTAAAGCGAGAACCACAATTTGAAAAGGAACCGCCCTCCACCTGTGAAACTTAGGCAAACTGTTAAAACGAATGTGCGCGGCGCTAAGGCGAGAACCAACTCTTGAAGCGCAGCCGCCCTCCATCCGTGAAGCTTTTGCCAACTTTTAAAACGAATGTGCGCGGCGCACGAGCGCGAAACACATTTTGAAAACGGCCTGCCCTCCATGTGTGAAACTCTTGCAAATCTCAGGTTTCAATCTTGCAAGTGGTGCGAAAATTTCAGGCGAAACGCCCAGCCCGCCCTACCGAGGCGTCTCAGTGTGCGACAGGGAGGAGCTATCTCTGAAGAAAACTCATGGAGGATGAGACAGACAAGGACGAGTTCGAGGAGGAGGAATGGGGACGAAGGGTGGGAGGAAGGGAAAGGAGGCAGAGGAGGGCGAGGATAGGGAGGTATAAAAGGTATGAGGATGTAACAGGATGTCGAAGACAAGGAGGGGCAGTGGGAGGAGGAGGCAGCCGTGGAAACTAAAATGCGGGAGGGATGATGAGCAGGAGGATACGGCCGAGGAGGAATGCGGGGGATGCGGGGCGGGAGGGAAGAGGACGGAGGGAGGAAGGAAGGGATGTACGGAGGAGGATGGGCAAGACGAGGGGAACGAGAGGCAAATGGCGCACGTTGATCAGGAACACGCCCGGGTTGCTGTCCATAACGCCCTCTCGCCAGTTGTCCCTGCCGTCGAGGTGCCCCCAAGCCTTGGCATGGAGGGCGAGGAGCCGGAGTGATTAGAAGAAGGGAGAGGTGCTTCCCTGCCCCTCTGCCTCCCTCAACTCTGAAAGGACAAGTGGGGAAAAGAAGCCTGGTGGTTGGCGATCTTGTCGCCCTTGTCCACAACGACCGGCTTGCCGCCCTTCTTGGGCTTCTTCTCCTTCTTCTTCTTCGCGCCGCCTCCGCCACCGCTGCCAACGTCGCCGATGACCGCGTCCGGCGCGTACTTGCCGACCACATCGGGCGGGTGGATCATATCGAACTCCGCTGTGGCATCCTTGCCGGCGAACGTGAGGATCGCGAGCTCGCCACCCGGGTGCTGCGACAAGAAGCTGGTAACGTCCAGCACCTTTGATGATGATGCTGGTGATGACGATGATGAAAGTGGAGGAGGAGGAGGAGCCGCTGGCAGCAGGGGGACCCCGTATTCGGCGGCGAAGGCCCATCAGCAGCAACGGCTCAGCAGCGTGACAGGGACGCATAGAAGCAGCGACGCAGGTTACGTCCAGCGCCTAGCAGAAGGAGGACAGAGGAAGCACAAACACAATAATAATACTGACAGGAATACTAAGCATGATAAGAAGACAAGTAATCATACATGTAATACTAATAGCGAGAAAACGAATCAGACTGAAGTAATGGTACTCATACTACTATTAATACACATAGTATCAATAATACTGAGAAGGCGACGACCACAAATCATACGAACAAGAGTAATACTAGTAAGAACACGCACACACACACACCTATGGTAACAACACGAGTGTAAACAACACTAAAGAATCAGGCACATCGACATCAACATACACGTTCGGAGGTCTGCACGAATCTCTCGAATCGACGCTAGACCCCCCCTGCCTGGAACGTGGAGCGCGCGAGGGGCGGCGCCGGAGGCGCCGCCAGGGGATCCAGCTCCGACCCAAAAAATCCGCGCGGATCTCCGAAATCTGATGTTTGTATGTTGAACTTTCTTCTTCGGGAGAAGGAATAAGAATCACCAGCAACAACTCAGCAGACACCCACCCGCATCAGTATGGCCGACCCGTTGGCGCACCCAGTATGATGGTGGTGCATCGATGCCCACGGATGAGGAGGACGCGAAAGCCAAATTGAAATGCCGCGGCGAGCGGTTCGAAGTATTCCAACATTCTAAGATTTTATTGGGCCTCTGTAGACCTACCTAGCCTCCGGAAGCCTTGGTCGTCGTCGTTCCTCTCTCTTCTCCGTCCCCCTCATGCTCCAGGGGGAGATGGGGGTGGAAGATATCTCCTCCTCCTCCTCCTCCTCCTTCTCTGCCAAGCCTTCGAGGTCCTTCTTCGTCGCCACGGCTGGATTCGCCTCCAAAGCGTGGTAGAAACGCGCTCCAAGAAGGCGAACTCCCCCTAGTTCAACTTCTTCCGGCTAACAGGTCGCACTCCACGCGCGCTTCCCATCATACTCTGAGCCAGCGCGAGGTCGCTGGCTTGTCCGTTCTTCCTCCTCTTATGTCCTCTCTTCCCCTCGCCCGTATCTCATCCTTGGGGAATCTTGGGGCCCTCTTTGGCCGTCTAGGGAGACTCTCGGACCGTCTTCGGGCCCTCTTGAGCCGTCTTGGAACGCTCCACCGAAGGTTCCAATGGTGGAGTTCGCATGCTTTCCCGCACCCATGTCGTCACACCCCTCGCACGCTTCGGGGCCCCATACGGAACTCCACCGAAGGTCCCAATGGCCCAGTTCGCATGCGGCCCCGCACCCATTTCGGCACACACCTCACAAGTTTCGTAGGCATAGGGAGGCCCACCGAAAGTCCAAATGGCGCAGTGTCCATGCGGTCCCCCGCACCCAGTTCGGTACACCTCTCACACGTTTCGTGGCCCCATAGGGAGCTCCACCGAAGGTCCCCGTGGCGCAATTCGCATGCTGTCCCGCACCAATTTCGGCACACACCTCACACGCTTCGTGGCCCCATAGGAAGCTTCACCGAAAGTCCCCGTGGCGCAGTTCGCATGCGACCCCTCACCCATTTCGGCACACCGCTTACACGTTTCGTGACTCCATGGGGAGCTCCACTGAACGTCCCAATGGCGCAAGTCGCGTGTGTCCCCGCAACCCATTCCGACACAACCCTCACACGCTTCGCGGCCCCATGAGGAGCTCCACCGAAGGTCACAGCGGCGCATTTCGCATGTGGTCCCGCCACCAATTTCGGTACACCTCTCACTCGCTTCGTGGCCCCATAAAAGGGGGCTCCAAGGAGGTACCAGTGGCGCAATTCTCGTGCGTCCACGCCACCGATTTCGGCACACCCTTCACACGCTTCGTGGGCCCATAAGGGGCTCCACTGAAGGTCCCAATGGCGGAGTTCGTATGTGCCCCCGCCGCCCATGTCGGCACCCCCCTCTCACGTTTGGTGGCCCCATGCATGGGGGGCTCCACCGAAGGTCCGGATGAGGCAATTTCCATGCGGTCCCCCGCCGCCGATGTCGGAACAACCCTCACGCGCTTCGTGGCCCCATAGGAAATTCCACCGAAAATCACAATGGCGCAGCCCGCATGCGATCCCCCAACCGGTGCAGCGCTTCGTGGCCCCATAAGGAGCTCCATTGAAGGCCCTAATGGCCGCGGCCGCGCGCGCCCCCCCCGCGCGCCCGCGCGCCCACGCGCGCGCCAACACACGTACGCACGCCCGCACCCACACGCACACCCACACGAACACCCACACGCACACCCACACGAACACCCTCACGCACACCCACACGCACACCCACACGCACACCCACACGCACACCCATTGGCACACCCACGCCATGCACACACGCACGCGCACCCGCACGCACCCGCACGCGCCCGCACGCACCCGCGCGCACCCGCGCGCGCCCGAACCCTCGCACCCCCACACCCCCGCGCCCCCACTCCCCCCCCCCCACCTCCCCCCCCACCCCCCCCCCCCCCATCCCCCCACCCCCGCGCCACCCCGCGCCAACCACTCCGCACCACCCCGCACCCCGCGCCCCCGCACTCCCGCACCCACACACCCGCGCACCCCGCACCCGCACCCCGCACGCGCACGCGCACGCGCACGCGCACGCTCGAGCGCACGCGCACGCGCGCGCACACGCACGCGCACGCGCGCGCTCACGCGCACGCGCGCGCACGCGCACGCACTCGCACACGCGCGCGCGCACGTGCGCGCGCACGCGCGCGCGCACGCGCACGCGCACGCGCGCGCGCGCCCACGCACACACGCACGCACGCACACACGCACACACGCACAGACACACACACGCACACACACACACACGCACGCGCGCCCCCACCGCGCGCCCCCGCGCACACACGCGCGCACGCACACACGCACACACGCACCCACACACGCACACAGACGCACACAGACGCACCGCAGCGCACCTCCGCACACCCCCGCACACCCCCGCACACCCGCACACCCGCACGCCCGCGCACACGCACACACGCACACGCGCACGCACGCACACACGCACACACACACACGCGCACACACGCGCACACGCGCGCACGCGCACACGCGCACACGCGCACACACGCACGCGCGCGCATGCGCACACTCGCACACACGCGCACACGAACACACGCACGCACGCACGCACGCACGCGCGCACACGCGCACACGCGCACACGCGCACACACGCACGCACGCACGGACGCACGGCACACACGGCACACTCGGCACACGCGCACACACGCACACACGCACGCACGCACACACGCGCGCACGCACGCACGCGCGCACGCACGCACGCACGCACGCACGCACACGCGCCCACGCGCCCACGCGCCCGCGCGCCCACGCGCCCGCGCGCCCACGCGCCCACGCCCCCACGCCCACGCCCCCACGCCCCCGCACCCCCACGTTCCCGCGCCCCCGCACGCCCGCGCCCACGCGCCCCCGCGCCCCTCACCCCTGCGCCCCCACGCCCCGTGCCCCCACGCCCCCCGCCCCCGCCCCCCGCACGCCCCCACACCCCCATCCTCCTTCCTTATTAGAATATACCTCCACCTGCGTCGTATTCGGGCCGATAGCGACCCAATCCGGGACCTCCCATCCGGACTGTAAAACATCAATACAAAGTGGCCGTTTTTCTTCTCAACATCGTCTTTCTTGTCGTCGACGATGCGAAAAGCGTGGCAGGAATGGGACGCGGCGCGCATCGCGCGCGGCAGTCAATCTGGGCCCGCCCATCCTGACTGTAAAAAATCAATACAAAGTCTCTTGGATTTTTCATCTCAGCATGGCCTGCCTTGTCGCCGACGGTGCGAAATATGTGGCAGCAGTGGGACGCGGCGCACATATGGGACGCGGCGCACATCGCGCGCGGCCGTCAATCCGGGCCCGCCCATCCTGACTGTAAAACATCAATACAAAGTTCTCCGCTTTTTCCTCTCAGCATGGCCTGCCTTGTCGCCGACGGTGCGAAATATGTGGCAGGAGTGGGACGCGGCGCGCATCGCGCGCGGACGTCCATGCGGGCTGCGGGCCCTCCCATCCTGACTGTAAAAAACAATGCAGAGTTGCCGTTTTTCCTTTCATCATGGCCTGTCTTGTCGTCGACGATGCGAAATGCGTGGCAGGAACGGGGCGCGGCGCACATCGCGCGCGGACTTCTGGGGCAACCCCAAGGCGGGAGGGGCCACCTTACTTGTCAGAAGCAATGCCATGCTGATTTTCGCTTGCCCACATAGCTGTTCTTGTCGTCCACCCCGCAAAAGTGCATGGCAAGAATTGGGCGCGGCACGCCCCCCCCCCGCTCGAAGTGAATGAAATGACCTTCTCGCTTGGGCGCCGAGCGAAATTTTCTCAAAGTTGCGCTCCCGCTTTGGCTCGGCGCACGTTTTTAGCTCGCCAATTCATTGGGCGCGTTCCAGGGGGCCCTGGGGTGACGAATGCCTGGGAGGTTTTTGCTTGTTCAGGCTCTTGGAGGGCCTCCTGAGTCTCCCCGCGGTTTCTTGGCGCTACGGCCGTCTGGAGGCCATCTTGGGCGTCTTGGAACGATCTTTCGGCGACTCAGGGCTACTGCTACTACTACTACTACTACTACTACTACTACTACTACTACTAGTACTACTACTACTACTACTACTACTACTACTACTACTTCTTCTACTTCTACTACTACTACGACTACGACTACGACTACGACTACTACTACTACTACTACTACTACTACTACTACTACTACTACTACTACTACTACTACTACTACTACTACTACTACTACGACTACTACTACTACTACTACTACTACTACTACTACTACTACTACTACTACTACTACTACTACTACTACTACTACTACTACTACTACTACTACTACTACTACTACTACTACTACTACTACTACTACTACTACTACTACTACTACTACTACTACTACTACTACTACTACTACTACTACTACTACTACTACTACTACTACTACTACTACTACGCGCCAGCACCCAGTTGCGCCAGCATTGTTTCTTATGTTGTGGGAGGGCGGAACGTGTCCGTTGTTCCTTTCAACATGGCCAGTCTTGTCGTCGACGTTGCGAAATTCGTGGCGGGAATGGGACGCGGCGCACATCCCGCGTGGACGTCAATGCGGTGTCCTGGGATATCCTCCACTCGCACTGAAATGCCCGCGCAACCCCCAGTTGCGCCATCGCTGTTTCTTATGTTGTGGGGGGGCGGATGGGAATGGGCATGCCGTGCTTGACTCGCTCGAGCTGGCTTGCTTGACACCCCCGCGCCCCCGCGCCCCCGCGCCCCCGCGCCCCCGCGACCCCGCGCCCGCGCCCCCGCGCCCCCGCGCCCCCGCGCCCCCACGCCCCCACACCCTTACATTCACACGCATTCGCGCACATTTTCGCACGCACATTCACACGCACATTCACGCGCATTCAAACACATTCACACGCACACATTCGCACGCGCACACATTCACACACACGCACGCACGCACGCGCGCACACGCACACACACGCACGCACGCACGCACGCGCTCGCAGACGCACGCACGCACGCGCACGCACGCACGCGCACGCACGCACGCACGCGCACGCACGTACGCACGCACGCGCACACGTACGCACGCGCGCACACTCGCGCGCGCGCGCCCGCGCGCCCGCGCGCCCCGGAAAATTCGATGGCTCCCCCCTCTCAGCCGCGACCGCAGCCGCAGCCGCGGCCGCGGCTAGAACAGAAAAACCACAACGAAAAATGCACGATAGACTCCCCCCTCTGAGCCGCGACTGCAGCTGCAGCCGCGACCGCGGCCGCGGCTGGAAACGAAAAACCATTGCGAAAAAATCGCGATAGTTCCACCCCTCCCAGCCGCGGCAGCAGCCACTGCCGCAGCCGCGGCCGCGGCTGAGAGAGGAAAGACCACGGCGAACAAATCGCGATAGTTCCCCCCTCCCAGCCGCGCCGCTGCCGCGGCCGCGGCTGGGAAAGGAAGACCGCCGCGAAAAATTCGCGATAGCTCCCCCTCCCCAGCCGCGACTGCAGCCGCAGCCACCACAGCGGCCGCGGCCGCAGCTGGGAGAAGGGACTACCGCGTAAAAATCGCAATGCTTTCCCACTCCCAGCCGCGACGGCAGCCACGGCTGCGAAAACTATTCCAAAACATGGCGATGATTTCCCACTCCCAGCCGCAGATGCGACTGCGGCCGCGGCCATCCGCGGCCCGCGGCTGCAAAAGAAAAACTACCGCGAAAAAATCAACACCGCCGTGCAATGCACTTTCTTCGTTGTTTTCTTTCTCCTCCGTCCCCAGTCCGCTGAGAGCGATCAGCGGTCGCAGGCACTTCTGACCGACTCAATCCTCCATTCTGGTTCTAGTGACCGGCCAGGAGGTTGGCTCTGGCGGCTGCGAACCCTCAACAAGCTAGACATCACCAGAGAATGATCTCATCGGCCCCGACACTAAAGGAGGCACCGGATCCAAGACTATTCCCAGCAACCGCCTGCCTCAGGAACGACTTACTTCCCGCTCTGGCCCTGGCGTCTATCAGGGCTCTCGCGCCACATGGTCTTTCTTGGAATTCAGCCCTATGGCCATCTGACTATGTCCCAGGGGCGACGTGAGGCCCCAGCAGTAGTGGCAACTGCCCGGACCACCAATTTGGACGACTGGCCGCGCCGCCGGTTCTTGGGTCCGGTCTCCCGCCAATTTTTTGGATGGTCGCCCGCCAATTCTTGGGATGGTCGCCCCTTTGGAATGTGGGTCCGGTGCCCGCCAGTTCTTGGGATGGTCGCCCGCGAGTTATCGGGTTGGTCGCCCATGGATCGGGATTTCTGCCCTCGCGCGTGTGCCGAGCAGTGTATGGACATGCTCAGGTCGGAATGAAGAGATTTTTACACATGCGAGGTCCACACAGCCGCGGCCACGGCCACGGCCACGGCCACAGCCACGGCCACGGCCACGGCCACGGCAGCGGCCACGGCCACGGCCACGGCCACGCCACGGCCACGGCCACGGCCACGACCACGGCCACGGCCACGGCCACCACGGCCACGGCCACGGCCACGGCCACGGCCACGGCCACGGCCACGGCCACAGCCACGGCCACGGCCACGGCCACAGCCACGGCCACGGCCACGGCCACGGCCACGGCCACGGCAGCGGCCACGGCCACGGCCACGCCACGGCCACGGCCACGGCCACGGCCACGACCACGACCACCACGGCCACGGCCACGGCCACGGCCACGGCCACGGCCACGGCCACGGCCACGGCCACGGCCACGGCCACGGCCACGGCCACGGCCACGGCCACGGCCACGGCCACGGCCACGGCCACGGCCACGGCCACGGCCACGGCCACGGCCACGGCCACGGCCACGGCCACGGCCACGGCCACGGCCACGGCCACGGCCACGGCCACGGCCACGGCCACGGCCACGGCCACGGCCACGGCCACGGCCACGGCCACGGCCACGGCCACGGCCACGGCCACGGCCACGGCCACGGCCACGGCCACGGCCACGGCCACGGCCACGGCCACGGCCACGGCCACGGCCCACGGCCACGGCCACGGCCACGGCCACGGCCACGGCCACGGCCACGGCCACGGCCACGGCCACGGCCACGGCCACGGCCACGGCCACGGCCACGGCCACGGCCACGGCCACGGCCACGGCCACGGCCACGGCCACGGCCACGGCCACGGCCACGGCCACGGCCACGGCCACGGCCACGGCCACGGCCACGGCCACGGCCACGGCCACGGCCACGGCCACGGCCACCCACGGCCACGGCCACGGCCACACGGCCACGGCCCACGGCCACCACGGCCACACCACGGCCACGCCACCACGGGCCACGGTACGGGGCACGGCCACCACGGCCACGGGCACGGCCACCACGGCCACGGCCACACGGCAACGACCACCACGGCCACAACCACCACGGCCACGGGCACGGCACCACGGCCACGGCCACGGCACCACGGCCACACCACCACGGCCACAACCACCACGGCCACGACCACCACGGCCACGGCCACCACGGCCACGGCTACCACGGCCACGGCCACCACGGCCACGGCTACGTCACGGCCACGGCCACCACGGCCACGGCCACACGGCCACGGCCACCACGGCCACGGGCACGGCCACCACGGCCACGGCCATCACGGCAACTGCCATCACGGCCACGGCAACGGCCACGGCCACGGCCACGGCCACCACGGCCATGGCCACCACGGCCACGGCCACCACGGCCACGGCCATCACGGCCACGGCCACCACGGCCACGGCCACCACGCCACAACCATCACGGCCAAGGCCACCACGGCCACGGCCACGGCCACCACGGCCACCACGGCCACGGCCGCCACGGCCACGGGCACGACGGCCACGGCCACGGCAGCACGGCCACGGCCACGGGCACGACGGCCACGGCCACGGGTCCAGATCAATAGCACTGGTCTGTGTATATGGAGTTCTTCGAGGTTCCAGGCTGGTCGACGGTGTAGTGGAGCCAGAAGGAGGGAGAGACCGCAGAAGAAGAATAATACTAATAATAAGCATATAATAAAGAAGGGACAAGAAGGGCGAACATTAGAAGCAGGAGCAGCAGCAATAGAAGCAGAGAAGACAGATGAAGCGGCCGCCCGTCCGCCCGCCCGCCCGCCCGCCCGCCCGCCCGCACGCACGCACGCACACACCCGCACACCCACACACCCACACACCCACGCACGCACGCACACACGCACGCACGCACGCACGCACACAGACAAACAACACGTTTCGCGGCCCCACAGGTAGCTCCACTGAAAGCCCTAGTGGCAATGCTCGCATGCAATCCCCGCACCGATTTCGGCACACCACGCACACGTTTCGTGGCCCCGAAGACGATGCTCACAACTGCGTTTTCACAATTGTATATGGTTCTGTCCTTCGCCAAGCTAATTTTCCTTAGGTTTTCGGATGACTTTGGCATTTGCTTTAAAACTGCCTTCCGACGGCCCAAGACGGCCCCAAGAGGCCCCCAAGATCGCCCAGGAGGCCTTTAAGATGACCCCAGGACGGCACAAGAGGCCTCAAAGACGCCCAAGATGACCGTCAAGACGACTCTGAATCGCCCCAAGAGGGCCCCAAGACGGTCCAACGAAACTCCCAACGGCTTCCCAAAGCGTCAGACGGGCTAGGAACGCCGTAAGACGGCCAACGAGGTCCCCCCAAAGCCCCAAAAGGTCACCAAGGGGCCTCCAAGAGGGTTCCAAAAGCTCCGAAAACAAAAACTCCCAAGAAGTGTCCTTATGCTTCTCCTCATCCTCCGTTTTCCTCCTTCTCATCATTCTTCTCGTCCTCCCCCATGTCTTCCGCGAAGGGCATCCACAACGGTTTGGGGAACGCATGGTCCAACAGCGTGGCCAAGGTTTGCCCAACCGTTCAGTCACATAGTTGTATCCCAAGAGGCAGGGAGCGGCGGTGATTCGCCCTAGACGTCTTCGGTACTTTGATGCAATATAGATCTAACTGAGTGTTAATACGGAATGGTGAAACCAGATAGTGAACAGGAGAAAGATGGCAAAGGGGGGAAGTGGAAGACGGGAAGAACTTGGAGGACGCGGAGGATGACGGGGAGCACGAGGTGGACAGGGACGATCTGAGATAACTAGGACAGGGATGTCTGGAAGGAGGATGATGAGGACCAGCGCTACATTGGAGGAAGAGGAGGACAAGGACAAGCAGGCGGACGAACAACGGGGGGACAACGAGGATTAAGAACCCGATGGGACGAGGATGGGGAGGAGGGAGGGCCAGATGACGGAGCGGGGAGGAGAATCAGCGGAGGAAGAGGCGGCACCTTCCCGCCGAGGATGACCCAGCAATCGGTCTTGCTGGTGTGCTTCGCCACCTCCTCCAGGGTGTACCCGCCGCCGCCGCCACCGACTTCCTCCTCCTCGTCCGAGTCTGAATCGTCGTCCGAGTCCGAGTCGTCGTCCGAGTCGTCCTCCTCGTCGGCACCTCCACCTGCCCCAAGCTTGCCGATGGCGGCGTCAGGGGCGTACTTCGGGATCACGTCGGGAGGGTGGATCATGTTGAACTCCTCTGTGGCGTCCTTCCCAGCGAACGTGAGGATGGCCAGCTCGCCTCCAGGGTGCTGGCTCAGGAACGAGGTCACATCGAGCACCTCACCAGCCACGACTACCCAGCAGTCGGTCTTGCTGGTGTGCTTGGCGACCTCCGCCATGGTCATGCCGCCGCCCCCGCCTCCAGACTTCACCTTCTTCTCCTTCTTCTCCTTCTTCGGCTTGTCCTCACCTCCGCCTGCCCCAAGCTTGCCGATGGCGGCGTCAGGGGCGTACTTCGGGATCACGTCGGGAGGGTGGATCATGTTGAACTCCTCGGTGGCGTCCTTCCCGGCGAACGTGAGGATGGCCAGCTCGCCGCCAGGGTGCTGGCTTAGGAACGAGGTCACGTCGAGCACCTCACCAGCCACGACTACCCAACAGTCGGTCTTGCTGGTGTGCTTGGCGACCTCCGCCATGGTGATGCCGCCGCCACCGCCACCAGACTCTTTCTTCTCCTTCTTCTCCTTCTTCGGCTTGGCGGCACCATCGGCCTTGTTCATGCCATCCTCGTATGACCCGCCTGCGTTCTTGGACGCCTTCACCTCGCCGGTGAGGCCTCCACCAGAGAGGTCCTTGAGGCTCACCGGCTTGCAACCATCACCCAGCATGTACTTGGTCGCGGCAAGGCCGGCCACACGGCCGAATACCACGCAGTCCAGCAACGAATTGCCGCCCAAGCGATTGTTGCCATGCACGCCGCCGGCGACCTCCCCAGCAGCGTACAATCCTGGGATGGCCTTGCCGTTTGCATCGAGGCAGGCAGAGTCTGTGTCGATCTCGAGACCACCCATGCAGTAGTGGATCACCGGCGTGATGATGGCTACGTAGAAAGGCTCGGTCTTTACCGCTGGACCGTCGATGATGTTATGATAGAACTTCTTGCCCGAACCCGTCTTCCCGCTCGCCTCGTCCCAAGACTTGCCGCTGGGGTAGGCTGGGTAGGAGCCACCGTCTGGATCCTTCTCTGTCTTCTTGGCAGCCTGGTAATGTTCGGCGTGTGTCTGCTCCAACACGGAAAGGGGAACACCCATGTCCTTGGCGAGGGACTCGCCGGTCTCGTAGAACTTCATGACGCCGCGGCCGGTGTAATGCTTGCAGTGCCATGAAATTTCCGAGGACGCAGCCTTGTTCAGGCAGAGCCGGAAGGGCGGCTTGTTCTTCCACATCTCGCCTGTGACGTAGTCGCGTCGTCCGAGCTCGTTCGCGAAGCGCTTGCCATTCGCATCCAGCACAAGACCGCCGACGCCACGGAGCGCCTCGGCGGCCAGGGGGAAGAGGACGCGGGAGACGTGGAGAAAGGACGAGGACGAGGGAGATGCTGTGGACATGGACGAGAACAACTGCAAGACTGAGCATGGACAGGAGGAAACGAAACAACGGCACGCCTCGGCGGCCAAGAACTTGATCTTCGCGTCCGGATCGTCAGGCTTCACCAGGCCGGTGGGGTGCACCTGCACCCATTCCAAGTCGACCGACTTCGCGCCGATGGCCTTCCAAAGGGCGATGGAAACAAATGCGGCGGGGAGGGATACGAATGCGAATAGTAAGTATCAGAGTAGTAAAGGCAATGCGCGTATGATTAAACGTGCTGCGACTACTATTAATATTAGTCATAAGAATAATGCTGTAAGCACGGATGAAGACAGGTGTGTCAACCAGATACACGTCGTACTCATGCGTGCATGAGGCAACGCAATAGATAGCAGGAGGGGCGGAGTACAACGAGCACGGGATGATCACGAACACACGAGTGCGCCTATTTTGTGGGAATGCGTAGCGCTTGCGAATGCTAATGTGAGACAATCGCGATGGATCTGCTTCCGTTTGATAATGACATTGCTGCGGAGAGTGGTGCCAGCGCGCTGCTTTCAATAACGACTCTGTACACTGTACACTCCTATTGATGTTTACCAGGTAGCTCCTGGTCGGAGCTGAAGAGTAACCAGAGAAACCAGCTGGCTGGAGTAGGCAGGCCCGCACTCCTTCGGTTGTGAACGTTTTCTTTTTCGGCGCTTCGACATTGGGCGAAAGGGAGGGGGAAAGGGGGTCTGGCTCTGGACTTCCGCTTAGCGCGACTTTTTCAATCAGTGCCTTACGGTGGAAACTTTGAGGGGGAAACATTTCGGGGAGTCTTATGGAGGGAATCCTCACGGGGAATCCTATGGGGAATATGGGGCATCCTATGTGGGAGTCCTATGCGGCAATCCTTTGTGTGAGTCTTATGGGGACATTTCATGGGGGAATCCTGTGGGGGATTCTCTTGGGGGGAATCCCATTACGAATCCCATAGGGACATCCCATGGGGGGACTTCTGGGGGATCCTACGGGGGAATCCGGATCCAAGCAGAATCCATTTGGAATCCGATTGGAATCTTCAGGACTTGCCTGTTCCGAGGACCCCACAACAACTGGCTACCCCTAGGGGGCATGCTTTTTTACAACGCCTTCGGCGTCCTGGAGCCACTTTCTCATTTTCCCGAAGGCCGCCCCGAAAACACAATGTACAATTGCGCGAAACAGCGATTCGCGTGTCCAAGGGGGGGGGGGAGCTGGGGCCCCCCTGCCTACTCCACCTGCCTCACACAGGCGACACAAACAGCCAAGATCTACTCCATTGGGGGGGGATGCGACGGCCCGCGCCGATAGGCAAAACAATGAAGAAGACAACGTTCACGTTGCTGGTCAGGCATTCCCAGATCAAGCTGCTTGACCCTTCGTTCCCACAAGCGTTTGCGCAGCTTCTAGGCATGGTCTGGCAAGCTCGTTTGACGAAGTTCCTGGATATCTCCGTGAACCCTGCCCGCTGGGAGTAGGCAACCGCACACCCACAGCTGCCGGGCAGGGAACGCCGCAGCGAGTTGACGGAAATCGCAGCGGGCCTCGCACTCCCTTTCCTAGCCGTTCTCGGTATGGGCGCCCGAAGCGACTGGGCAGGACAACGCTTCCGAAGCTCGCGCGCAAGTCCTGAACAACTCTCAGGCATATGTTGCGCCCATCGTACTGAAGGACCACATCAGAAATAATTTCGAGCACCCGGTAAAGTGTCGAAAGAGTGTCGAAACAATGTCGGACGAGTGTCTCCCAGGGCCCGATACGTGAAAACCCTCGAATTTCGGTATTTTTTGGGTGCTCGACATTCTTTCTCGTGATCAAGGCTACAGTAGGTTGGAACATCATAATCTCAGGCCGTAGCCTCGCGAACTCGCTTCACAGTATGCCGGTAGCGTCGCAACCCCGCCGTTCAGCATGCCGCGAGCGTCCGAGAGAGCAAATCCATGCGAGATTCTCAGGGGCCGCCACGCACGCCAGCGCACAGCCGTGCACGCACGTGCGCGGACGCTCTGTGAGCCTTCCTTACCATCCAGGCTCCTGGCTACACAAGTACAGTCGGGCTGCTGAAATCCGCTGACCCTGTCGGCGTGTGGAAGACGCATCCCGGGGTCGTCGTCTTGCGTGGATCACCGTCGTCGTCGTCGTCATCGTCGTCGTCGTCGTCGTCGTCGTCGTCGCCCGACATAAAAGGAAATCGAACACGAAACATAAGGAAATCGTAATCGTGGCGAAGCCCCTCCCTACCCTCCCCACCGTGAGGGGTGGGTGGGTGGGGTGGGGGGGGGTGGGGGAGGGTGGGGGGGTGGGGGGGGTGGGGGGGGGGCGGGGCAGATACGCATCCCCCCGGGCGACCCTCTCCCCTCTCCCCCTCCCCCTCCCCTCTCCTCCCCCTCCTCCTCTTCTCCTCCTCCTCCTCCTCCTCCTCTCCTCCTCCCCCCTCCCCTTCCTCCTCCTCCTCCCCTCCTCCTCCTCCCCCTCCTCCTCCCTCCCTCCTCCTTCCTCCTCCTCCTCCTCCTCTCCTCCCCTTCCTCCCCTCCTCCTCCTCCTCCTCCTCCGCCTCCTCCTCCGCCACGTCTTCATGTATCTCCGATGTCTTATCACGCATCCCGTCACCCTCGAGGGCCGAAGTATCCAGGGTCGGCGGCACTGGCCGTAAGGCCTTCGCAATAAGGAACGCTAGATAAGGAACGAAGCCCCTCTGTGGCTTCAAAACAGCCTGGGTGCACGAGAAGGGCTAGAGGAACAACCACAGAAGGACGTAAGGAACATCGAGTCCCTTCCGAATCCAAACTGTTCCTTATTTCAGCGTCTTGGCTGTAATCTGCTTACGCGGTGCAGCCTACGGGGTGCGTTCTTTGGGGCGCAATCGAAGCGTGCAAGAATGCCGGGGGAATGCCGAGGGCCAAGAGCGCCCTAAAATGGCCACCGGCCTACTCCTCCCCCTCCTCCTCCTCCTCCTCCTCCTCCTTCTCCTTCCTCTCTGCCTCCTCCTCTCGCCCTTCCTGGCCCTGATGGCCCTACTCCTGGGCGCCCTTCAGGCCAAAGGAGTATCCCAGGAAGCTTCAAGAGGGTCCCCAAGAGACCTCCTTCCCCTCGTCCTCCTTCTCTTTCCTCTTCGCCTTCTCCTCCTCCTCCTCATCCTCCTCCTCTCGCTCATCCTCCCCCTGGCCCTACAATATGCCAGCATGCACGACACATCTGCGGGCCAATTTCCCGAGGGACCCGAAATTTCTGGCCCGACGTGGCTCCCGCGCTGTGGGCTCAGTCAGGAACAGGGATACGAGCCAGAGTATGGTCATGAACACCAGCATCGTTGGTACAACCCCCCAGACGTGGCAACGCCCTAACTCATTCTGATCCAGGCCCTGTCGACACTGCGCCAAGGCCAGCCTGACCCATTCAAGCTGACGTGCCCAACGGCTCGGCGACACCAGTGTCACGCGCGCGCGCTGCAGCGAATGATGCACCATAATGGGGCGACACAGCTACATGCAATGCAAGAGTGCCAACTGTATCACTAATCCATTTTCGTTTCCAATGAAGAACCTGGCTGGCGCTGAAGCGAGAACAACTTTCGCAATCATGGATGTGACCGGCGCTTTGGCGAGAACAACATTCTCAATCATGGATGTGGCTGTCGCTAGGGCGAGAACAACTTTCGCCATCGTGGATGTGGCCGGCGCTAAAGCCAGAGTAACTTTCGTAATCGTGGGCGTGGCCGGCGCTGAAGCGACAGTAACATGTGCAATCATGGATGTGGACGGCGCTAAGGCGAGAGTAACTTTCGCAGTCGTGGGTGTGGCTGGCGTTGGGGCGAAAGCAACATTCGCAATCGTAGATCTTGCCGACGCCAAGGCGACAGCAACATTTGCAATCATGGGTGTGGCCAACGTTGAGGCGAGAACAACGTTCGCAATCATGGACACGGCTGGCGTTGAGGCGACAGCAGCCGTCGTAGTTGTGGATGTGGCTGGCGCTGAGGCGAATGTCGTTCGCAATAACGGATGTGGCCGGCACTGAAGCGAAAACAACGTTCGCAATCATTGACGTGGCCGGCGGAGATACGAAAACACAGTTCGTAATCATTGATGTGGTCTGCGACGCGGCGAAAGCAACATTCCCAACCATGGAGGCGGCCTCGGCTGAGGCCAACATAAAGCTGATATAGTGGATGTGGCCACTGGTGAGGCGAGGGCAGTTATCCGTCGCAATCGTGGGCGAAGTGTCCCACTGCACATGCGCACTGGCTCTCGCGCAACCAGCAGCACCACTGAGACGAGAAAGGCCAGAAACAGCAGCACCATGAGCAGTAGCAACAACAACAACAACAACAACAACAACAACAACAACAACAACAACAACAACAACAACAACAACAACAACAACAACAACAACAACAACAACGTCAACAACAACAGACATAGTCACCAGCGACACTAGCAGCACCAGTATGACGACAACGATGTGAAATGGAGCAGCAGCACCACGCGACACAGCACAAGCGCCACTAGCAGCAACATTGTGACCACAACGACAGCAAACAGCAACACCAAACGCAGCAGCACCAGCGTCACGAGCACTGGGAACAACAACGCCACGCGAATCCAATCTCAAACGCAACCAGCAGTACCAGTGTGACCAGTACGACGGGAACCAGCAACACTACACGCACCAACACACGCGCAAGGAGCAGCACCGCCGTGACGCGCACGATAGGATCCAGCAAGACGACATGCGCCAATACAAGCACCACCAACAGCACCACTGTAATCAACATGATGAAAAGCAACAACACCACGCGCAACAACACAAACGCCACCAGCAGATCCACTTGGACGAGAACGCCGGGAACTAGCAGCGCCAGGCGATTCGCGCTGGACTGCACGAGCGCCCCCCCACCCCCGCAGGCCAGACCAACGGGGGGAGGCGTTCACTCCAGCGCAAAACGTCACGGCCCTGATCGTTCAATTTTGCGCTGGGGACCGGGACACCCCAGAACAGAAATGCGTAGTCCGTCCGCGCGAAGTTTTGCGAGCCCCACCACGGGAGCAAATGCTGCTCGCCCCAAGCCCGAACGGCGGTCGCTCCCAGAGAATGGGTTGCGCCAGCCGGGGCCTATAGTAGCAGCGCGAACCAGGAGCGCCACTGCGAGCGCGAGGACGGGGTAAATGGCTCGTCGTGGGCTCACCGTCAGCGCCCGCCGCCTGCCGCCGCCCAGCCTGGACAGCAGGTCCAACGCCTAGCACCTGCGCCCTGTCCAGCCAGCAGCAGCACACGCGCAAGCAACACCAGCGCCACCAGCATTTTCAACTAGAACGAGCGCGACGAGAACCAGCAGCACCAGGCGATTCGCGCTGGACTGCGCGAGCGCCCCCCCCCGCCAGCGAAGCCAGCGGGGAGGAATTGTTCCCGTGTTCCAGCGCAAAGCGTCACGGCCTGAATCCTTCGATTCTGCGCGGGGCGCAGAGAGCGCCCCAGGGCACAGCCCACAGCCTGTCCCACAGGAGCCAGCTGCCTGCCCCTTGCACCGCAGTCCACGCGGCCTGGCGGAGATGCGCGCTGCCCGCCTCTCGCACCGCAATCCACGCGGCCTGGCGGAGATGCGCACGACGACCCGCGACGCGGCAGTCAGCAACACGAGCGAAACGAGCAGTTCCACTGTGACCAGCCCGACGGGAACCAGCATCGCCAGCAGCAGCAGCACCAGCACAAGCGCCACCAGGAGCACAATTGTGAGGAGCAAGTCAAAGGCAGCAGCCAGAGCGCCGTCTGCAGTGCCACTCCACCGAGGCCTGCCGGAAGCAGCAACACCACGCGCAGCATCAACGCCGCCAGCAGCAATAGCGCAAGCAACACCAGCGCCACCAGCAGCGGAGCCGCCGGCAGCACCACTGCGACGAACACCGCGAGAAACAGCAGCAGGACACGCAGAAACACCAGCCACCAGCAAAACCACCTTGACCCGCACACTGGGCACCAACAGTAGTACGACGAGCACCAGCTCTAGCGCAACAGGCAGCACTTCCGCGACGAGCGCTACAGCGGCATCGGCGCCGCCACCAGCAGTACTGAGATCAGCAGTGGCAGAAGCGACGCCAGTAGTAGCTCTACGGCCCGCACGGCAGCAAGCAACACAACCACGCACAGCAGTACGAGCGACCCGAGCAGCTCAAGTATGACGAGCGCGACGAGGAGCAGCAACAACACACGAAGCAACATCAACGCCGCCGACACCACGACTGCAACGAACACGACGGCGAGCAGCGGCGCTAAGCGCAGCAGCGCGAGCGCCACCCGCGGCAACACTGCGACGAGCACGACGGGAAGCAGCTGCGCCACGCAAGGCAGCACCAGCACCACCAGCAGTTCCACCAGAACGAGCACGACGGGAACCAGCAGCACCAGGCGGTTCGCGCTGGACTGCGCGAGCGCCCCCACCCCTCCGCCGGCGAGGCTGGCGAGGGGGGAAGCGTTCCCTCGCCCAAGCGCAAACGTCACGGCCTGGATCGTTCGATTTTGCGCTGGACGCTGGGGGGCGCCCCAGACAAAGATGCGCAGTCGGTACGTGCGAAGCTTGGCTGGGAGGTGCGAGCCCCGCCCTGGAAGCAACTGCTGACCTGCCCAAGCCCGATTGGCGGTCGCTCCCAAGGGGAAGGGTTGCGCCAGCCGGGGCCTGAAATAGCAGCGCTACTCAGGACCGCCACGGCGAACGCGAGGACGATGGCTCGTCGTGGGCCCTCCGTCAGCGCCCGCCGCCTGCTGCTGCCTGTCCCAGCCAGCAGATCCAGCGCCCAGCACCAGCGCCCTGCCCAGCCAGCAACGGCGCCGAACCTGGCCAGCAACGGCCCCTGGGCAGCGCCCTCCCACAGGCGTCGTCCAGGGCGTCCAGTGGCTGCCGCGCTGCTGGCGTCGCCATTGCCCGCTGCAGCTGCGGGCCGCCACGCGTCGGGCGTGCAGCAGGAGAACTGCGAGCGCAACGAGCATATTCCACTGTGACCAGCGCGACAAGAAACATCAGCACCACTCGCAACAGCACCAGCGCCACCAGCAGTGCGACCAGCCCGACAGGAACCAGCAACACCACCAGCATCAGCGCGATCGCACCAGCAGCACTGCAATAATGCGACCAACCCTGGCGCCACTGGTGGCACCTCTATGGCCATAACGACAGCAAACAGCATCACCACGCACAGCAACACCAGCGCCACAACATTTAGCGTTGTGACGAACACAACGGGAAACAGTAGCGCCACGCGCAGCACCACTAGCGCCTACAGCATCACCAGCGCGACCAACACAAGAAACAGCAGAACCACGCGCCCCAGCACTAACGCAACCAAAAGCAACGGTGTGACCAGCACAACGGTAACTGGCAGCACCAGCGTAACAAGCGGTACCACTGTGACCAACACGACGGGAACCAGCTGCACCAATCGCAGCAGCACGAACGCCACAAGCAGCGCCAGCGTGACAAGCAGGACGTGAAGCAGCAACACTATGCGCAACACTACAATCGCCACCTGGAGCACCGGGAAACAGCGACACTACGTTCACCAGCCCAAGCGCAACGAGCAGTACCAGTGTGACGAGCATCACCAGAGACAGCAGCCTTTCGCGAAGCAGCAGCACCAATGTGACCAGCACGACGGGAAGACGCAGCAAAACAAATAGCACGACCGGCGCCATCAGCAGCACCACTGCGACCAGCCTGGTGGGAAACAACAGCACTATGCGCACCAGCGCAACTGCAGCGAGGAGTCCTACTGTGAGGGGCATCGCTGGAAGCAACACCACTGTGACCAGCAGGACGGAAATCAGCAGCACCATGCGCAGCACCATGCGCAGCATTACTAGCGGCACCAGCAGCACCAATGTGACCAGCGAAACGATAACCAGTAGCACAACGCGAAATACTCCAAGCGGCACCTTGGCACCAAACTGGCCGCGGATGGGGCCGCGATCCGGAAGCTTGCGCAGCCCACAAGCTTGTGAGGCTGCGTCTTCCCCTGCGACGCGAATGGCGCTCGCAATCAAGATGTGGCAGGAGAAGGGTTTTCGCAATCAAGGGTGCGGCCGGCGCCGAAGCAGCAACACAACATTCGTAACCATATTTTTGGCCGGCGCCAGGCGAGAGCGGCATTCCGAATCGAGAGCGCAGCCCGCGCTGAGACGAGAACAACAATCGCATTCATGCGCGCGGCCGGCGCCCAGGACCTGGGCGGAAACAACATTCCGAGTCGAGAGTGCGGCCCGCGTTGAAGCGAGAACAATTATCGCAATCAGGCGTGCGGCCAGCGCCAAGGCGAAAGCAGCATTTTCGATCAGATGTGGCTGGTGCCGCAGCGAGAACGGCATGCTCAATATGAAAGATGTGGCTGGCGCCTGGGCGTCAGCAGCATTTGCCAGCAGACATGTGACAGTCGCCACAGCGAGAACGACATGCTCAATGAAGGATGTTGTCGGCCACGAGGCAACAATCACATTTTCAATCAGACATGTGGCCTGCGCCAAGGCGAGAACGACATGCTCAATGAAGGATGTCGCCAGCGCCTAGGCGACGGCAGCATTTGCCAGCAGACATTTGGCTGGCGCCAAGGCGAGAGAGGCATTCTCAATGAAAGGCGTCTCTGGCGCCTAAGCGGCAGCCATATTTTCAACCAAAGATGTGGCCCACGCACAGGCGAGAACAACGCGCTCAATGAAAGATGTCCCTGGCGCCTAGGCGGCAACAACATTTTCAATCAGAGATGTGGCCCACGCACAAGCTGGAGCATCATTCCGAGACAAACTTGTCGCCAAAATGCATGTGTCACGCCCATTTCGCTCGGGCTGGGCTCGGCGTTACCGAGGTCCGGGTTATGTTAGGTGGGTAATCCACGTTAGGGGGATGTAATGAATGTAAGCATAGGAAGAGGAATAGTGACATTATTATGAATGTAGGAAGAGATGGCGGGGTACAGGTCGGGGCATGAGCGAGAATAAGGGAAGAGGGCAATGATAGATATTATTCAAGGAAAGAACAAGAGGAATCTGACGAATGCGGCCTCTCCCATCTTGATCCCGTCGCCGGTGCAATGCTCGCCGTTGGTGGTGGGCAGGTGCATGAGGTCTGGCCGGTACTGCGCCAGGAGCGAATTGCTGGTGAAGTCGGCGCCAAAGCCGCCAGTGGCCAGGATCACGGGGCCGTGCTCCTGACATGGGTGAGAAGGAGCAGTGAGGAGGAGGAGGAAGGACGAGGACCAGTGTAAACCGAAGACTCATCAACAATGTTGGAATAAAGCTCCCTCTTCATAGGCCCCTACAACGGTTCATTTCCACTGAAGAAACTGCCTCTTTGGAAGACAACCGTTTGAAGACCCTGAAGCATGTCAAAACATTGTTCTCGGGATGCCAACGCCACGGGTCAACCTGACTGTTTCGTCTTGCCTGTCCTGAGTCGTGCCAGGACGCCATTCCTGGGATTTCAACACAGCGAATCAACATAACTGTTGCACCCGCGAAATCCCGAACCCGTTCAAAACACCATTTCTGGCACGTTGATGATGGGAATCCACGAAACTCTTGCAACATTTGAAAAGAATGTTCGCCGCGCTAAAGCGAGAACCACATTTTGAAAGGAACCGTCCTCAATCCGTGAAGCTCTTGCAAAGTTTTTTAAAAAATCATTGTGCGCCGCGCTAAAGCGAGAACCACATTTTGAAAACGACCCGCCCTCAATCCGTGAAACTCTTGCGCATTTTTAAAGCGAATGTGCTCCGCGCTGAGGCGATAACCACATTTTGAGAAAGAACCGCCCTCAATCCGTGAAGCTCTTGCAACTTTTAAAACGGATGTGCGCCACGCTAAACGCGAGAACCACATTTTGAGAAAAAAACGCCCTCAATCCGTGAAACTCTTGCAAACTTTTAAAACGAGTGTGCGCCGCGCTAAAGCGAGAACCACATTTTGAAAAGGAACCGCCCTCAATCCGTGAAGCTCTTGCGAATCTTGAAGCTTCAGAACTAGAACTGGTGAGGACGTCTCAGACGAAATGTCTGGCCCGCCCTAAAAACTGGCCTCGGGATGCGACAGGGAGAATTTATCTTTAAGGAGAAGGAATGGAGGAGGAGGAGGAGGAGGAGGAGGAGGAGGAGGAGGAGGAGGAGGAGGAGGAGGAGGAGGAGGAGGACGAGGAGGAGGAGGAGTGAGGAGTGAGGAGTGAGGAGGAGGAGAAGTGAGGAGGAGGAACAGAGGAGGAGGAGGAGGAGGAGGAGGAACAGGAGGAGCGGGAGGAGGAGGGGAAGGAGGAGGAGGAGAAGGAGGAGGAGGCGAGGAGGAGGAGGATGAGGAGGAACAGGAGGAGGAGCGGGAGGAGGAGGGGGAGGAGGAGGAGGAGGAGGAGGAGGAGAAGGAGGAACAGGAGGAGGAGGAGGAGGAGGAGGAGGAGGAGGAGGAGGAGGAGGAGGAACAGGAACAGGAACAGGAGGAGGAGGAGGAAAGAGAGAGAGGAGAGGAGAGGATGATGAGGATGAGGATGCTGATGCTGATGATGCTGATGATGCTGATTCTTGATGATGATGCTAGTGATGGTGATGATGAAACTAGAACTGAAGATGTTTATGTGAATATGGTTTGCGTAAACGGATGGAGGCGGAATGTACAATACGTACAATGGGACTAAAACGAGTCTCAGGCAGGCACATAAGCTTGACCAGCTTCCGTGCCCCAGAGCAAAACAGGCAACGGCAAAGGAAGACCATTACATCAGGTAAAGGTGAGAAGGGACACGTGAGCTACCGTTCGAGTATGGTGATGATGAGGAGGAGGAGGGGAAGGGGGAGGAGGAGGAGGGGGATGACGAAATGGAAGGATCCTGGAACTCCGCGCCGCCCTTCTCGTAGACGCAGCCCACGCACGCCTTGTTGGCGGTCAGCAGCTTGGTGACCTTCGCCTTGGTGATGATGCGCGCCTTGTCGCTCCTCTCTGCAACCTTTTCGGGGGCGGATCGCAATGTGGAACGACGTGTTCACTCGTGGGGTATGCCTGCCCCACGGCGGCCGGCAACTCTACACGCCCATCTTGCGCGATATGGTTTCGGATTTTCCTGCCGCCCTGAGACAAACGTCTCCCCACAGGAATGACTCTCGTTTATTCTGCTCTTGCCATACCTCCGACGACACATTTTCCTTGACGTCGGCCGCCACTGGCTCCCTCTGGGTCGCCTTTGATGGTCCCGGGGCCGCACATGGGCCTCCAGAGGCCCCAATGGCACAACAACGCTGCCATCGCGATGTACGCCAAAGGTCTGGTTGCGTCCGCTGGGCCTTCTCCACCATCTGGATGAGGGCATAGGTGATGGTCATGCCAGGGAAACGCTCAGCGCCTCGGCGATGGAGGAATCTACATAATCCCACCAACCCTTCGAGCTAAGGTGGTCTAGCGAATTCTCTCCTTCCTCGTCCAATAACCTCTTCTCTTCCCGGAGGTTTACCTCTCCCCCCCCTCCATGAGGTTTTTCGGGGCGGCCCGCTATGCGGTAGAGCCCAAGATGGCTCCAAGAGAGCATGCGATGCTCCAAAATGGCTCAAGATAGCCGACGATGGTTCAAGATAGCTCCCGACATACTTTCAAGAGGCTCGACTAGGGCCACAAGACGACTGTTCCAAGTGCTCTCGGAGCCCCCCTCAGGACCCCACAATAATTCCAAATCCTTCCACCCGAGGAAGATCACTGATGTTTGCCTTCTCGCCGTTTCGCTTCGGATGCGATTTCGAGGCCTCAAGATGGCCCCAAGATGGCCCACGAGAGGCCCAAGAGGCTCCCCAGCCCCAAGAGCGCCCAAGAGCGGCTCAAGAGGGCCCCAAGAGGCGATTTTGATGGCCCCAGGGGGGGGAAGGGGGGGCCCGAAGAGGCCCTCCATGGCTCCCAATGGACCCCCAAGAGGGCTCCAAGAGGGCCCTAAGACCCCACAACGGAGCCCCAAGAGGACCCCAAGATCCCCCAAAAGAGTCCCAAGAGGGCTCCAAGAGGCGATTTGAGGGCTCTGTCTTCGTCCTCGTTGTCCTCCTCCTCCTCCTCCTCCTCCTCCACGTCCTCCTTGTCCTTGCCCTCATCGTCTTCCTTTTCCTTTTCCTCCTCTTCCTCGTCGTCGTGGTCGTCGTCGTCTTCCTCCTCCTCCTCCTCCTCCTTCTCCTCCTCCCCTCGCCTCCACGCTGGTCCCTGGGATGACCCGACGAATCCCTCCCAAACCACCCCCTTGCTCCCAAACATCTTTCTCTCTTTTCACCCTGGTTGCCAGCCTTGCTTCTCTACGCGTGTCTGTGCGTCCCCGCTTCCTTTCAGCTCTCATGGGCAAGGTTTATGACTGGGCTGGTAGCGGTACGCGACGCATGCATACTTACGCGAGAAAAAAACAACACGTGGATTCTCATGGAATTTTTGCATGCCGCTCCCCCCCTGCCCTCTCCTCCTCTCTGTCTCTGACTCTTTCTCCGATTCTAGGTCGTACAGCTTTGATATACGCGTCGCCTCCGACTCCTTACTGTGCCCTCACACTTCGCTCTGCACTCTGTTGTCCCAGACCACGCCTCAACCATATACGCATAGATGCACGTCTATGTGTTTGTGTGTGTGTGTGTGTGTGTCTCTCTCTCTCTATTCTTTTCTTTCTCCATGTATCTCTCCCTTCTTTCCTCTCTGTCCCCAACCTCGCCTTGTGCTCTCTGATATGTACTCTCTCTACCTATGTATATGTACCATATACTCTCTCACTCAGACCTCACCATCCATCTTTCATGACTCTATCGTACAATGGTCGCACATTCTCTCTCTCTCTCTCCCAACTCTCTGGTCAACTCTGCTCGCAACTCTCTTACCCCTGTACCCTTTACGATCAACCCTCCCCGGGCCTGGCCATAATCAAGACATCCCAATCCCCCGAACCTTACACTGCCAAGAACCCAGAAACAAGAACCAAAAAACCAGAAACCCACCAAACCGTACACTGCCGGTAACCCCGTAACTGGGAACCAAGAACCCAATCGCCCACCGAACTGGGAACCCAAAAACCCGACCAAACATACACTGCCGGGAACAACGGAAACGGGAACCCGGGAACCCAACCGACCTTCCATTGCCGTGAACCCTCGAACCAAGAACCGGGAACTCAAGCACCCAACTGACCACCGAAATCGGCCTGGAACCCAAACCCTGGAACCTAGGAGCTCGGAACCGGGAACCGGGGAACTCAGCCGCCAACCGAAATCGGCCCAGGACTTTCGCCAATTCCTTCAATCGCTGTTAGGACCATTTCAGTGCACGCACTGATTGGTGAATGATCACAAGTAGTAGTGGTAGTGGTGGTGGTGATGGTGGTGGTAGTAGTAGTGGTAGTGGACATCGAAGCAGTAATACAAGTAGTAGAAAGTAGAAGTAGAAGTAGTAGTGGTAGTAGTAGTAGTAGTAGTAGCAGTAGTAGTAGCAGTAGTAGTAATAGTAGTAGTAGTAGTAGTAGTAGGTCTTAGTAGTAGTAGTAGTAGTAGTAGTAGTGGTAAAGTAGAAATATAAGTAGTAGTAGTAGTAGTAGTAGTAGTAGTAGTAGTACTAGTAGTAGTAGTAGTAGTAGTAGTCGTAGTAGTAGTCGTAGTAGTAGTAGTAGTAATAGTAGTAGTAGTCGTAGTAGTAGTAGTAG